ATAACATTTTTCTTTTTTTTTGTCATTTCCAAAAACTTGTGGTAAAAAAAAAAAATTCTATTGACTCGATATGCCTCTCAGCAAATAGTTTGGGGTGTCTACTTTTCAAAAAGGGGTCATGGGGGGACATTTTATGCCCAGCATCAGAAGTTTATGCCACACATCGCTCACTCTTCTAACCACCTGAAGACCAGGCCTTTTCTGACACTTTTTGTTCACATGAAAAAGTCAGTATTTTTTGCCAGGAAATTACTTTGAACCCCAAAACATATATTTTTTTAAAGCAGACACCCTAGTAAATAAAATGGTGGGTGCTGCAAATTTTTATGTCACATAGTACTCACGCAGCAATTTTTCAAATGGAAATTTTTTTTTATGCAGCCTGTGGCCGGAATGAAAAAAATAGAAGAAATCTCTGCCAGAAAAAGTGTGTGGTATGCTCACCATTAGAATATACATTTTTTTAACTGAGGATGACAAATCTCATCCAACATTGCTGCACACACTTATGTCTATTCTGAGAGCAAGACCCCCTGTTGCTGTCAGAATAAACAGCTCGGTGCTGCAGCTGAATGGCAATCCTGCAAAGAAAATAGAAACTCAATAAAACAACTTTTTTTATTGAAATATGTGCCAAAAAATAGTATAAAATATATATGCAGAAGCATAGGGGCCATCCACCCACTGGCCACTCCAAGCCCCCATGCTTGCGCATATATGTTCTTTTTTAACTGCGGGTGAAAAATCTCATCCAACAGCACTGCGCAGACTTACTTATGTATATTCTGAGAGCAAGACCCTTTTTTTGCCAGAATAAACAGATTTGTGCTGCAGCTGAATGGCATTCCTGCTAAGAAACTGCATTGGTTAACAATAAAACAGTAACAATAGAACAGTAACAGTAAAACTGTAGCAGTATAACAGTAACTCGACAAGAAAATAAGACAACTATTTTTGTTTTTTAAAATGTAAAAAATGTTTTTAACTTTTTTTTTGCTTTTTTTTAACAGTAACAAGCAGATATTAGGGTCTCTCAAAATGCGAAAATGCCAGTTTCTTGACTACCTAACATCTTTTGAGACCCTGTGCAAATATGTGCCCTGAACTGTGCCATGCTGTACCCTATACTAATACTTCACTAGTGTGTGGTAGCGACAGAAGCAGTCCTTGAGGCAGAGACCAGGTTGGCCAGGACAGGAGAGACAAAAAAATTGGGTATCATGCCTAATTCCGTGTCTGCTACAGACACATCTTTTTTGGGGTGTCCTTTGGGTTGGGGTACCAGGAATGGCAATGGGAAAATGCCTTTCATGCAGCCGGCTAATTGCATCTGTGTTGGGGGTTTGGGCCATAGCACCTTCTGGATACAAAAGGGCCGTGATGATCTCTTCCTGGAATTTTAGGAAGGATCCACTCCCTCCAGTTGCTTTGTAAAGCACAAAAGCGTTATATAGAGCCAATTGAAATAAATAAACAGACACTTTTTTGTACCAGCGTCTGCTTTTTGGGAAACTAAGTACGGCTTCATCATCTGGTCGTTGAAGTCCAACCCTCCCATGTTAAGGTTATAGTCATGGACACAAAGGGGTTTCTCAACAACACCAGCTGCCGTGGCAATTTGGGTGGTCGTATCTACGTGAATTCAAGACAGGACGAAAACATCCTGTTTGTCCTTCCACTTCACTGCGAGCAATCCATCATTTCTCAAGCAGGCTTTTTCCCCCTGTTCTAAGATGGGTATTTACAAGCCATTGGGGGAAGCCCCAGCGATTAGGTCGCATGATGCCTCATGCACCAATTTCAAGATTGTACAAATGTCTAAATAGTGGCATGCTTGAATAAAAATTGTACCTCATATGAAAAAAGGATGACACCAAGTTTCAAACTATCTTGCCACTGTTCCCCATGTAGTCTGGGCATCCGGGGGGGCTCCACTAGACTATCTTTTCCCTCATAAATCCAAAACTTATGTGTATAGCCTGTTGCCCTCTCACAGGTCTTATATACATCTTGATCCCATATCAGGCACGCTTGCTGGGGAGAAATTGTTTGAACGCAAGGTGGCCAGAAAAACTAATGAGGGACTCCTCAACACAGATGTTTTGCTGGAGAGTATAGACATCTGCAAATTTTTGGTTAAGATGATTTATGAGGGGTCAGATTTTGTGCAGCCGGTCAAATTCAGGGTCACCCGAGGACCACAGAGTGTATTGTCGTTGAAATGCATAAATCGTATTATATTTTCATATGTATGCCTGGCCATGGCAGCAGAGAACATGGGCATATGATGAATTGGGTCTGTGGACCAATACAACCACAATTCATTTTTTTTATTAACCTCCTTAGCGGTATTCCCGAGTGTAGCTCGGGGTAACATTTCAGTACCAAGAGCGGTAACCCTGAGCTACACTCGGGAATACCATGCGGCACTGCTCCGGCATGTGTTCTTCACTTACCTTACCCTGCGCTCCCACGATGTGTCCCCTGCAGCGTCCCCGGCCATCTCCTCCAGCCGATGCCGGCATCCGGCTTCTGTGTCCTGTCCCTGTGACGTCGGGACGTACGGGCGCCGCCGGGAAATTTAAACATTTTAAAAAATGTCATTTTTTTTTTTTTTTTTACATTTTACATAGTAAAACATTGCTGTCTCAACCAATTTCACATACATTTTGTCCCTAGTGCTTTGTCCGGCGCCCTGCCTGCATTTTGTCTGTTCTTTCTGCCTGGAAACTGAGAAACGTCCATGCATCCAAAAAGTGTCCCTTTAGTTCAAAAGCGGTTTAGATCAGCTAGAGAACAGCGATAGTAAATCACAACCACTTGCAGAATTGAGTGATAATGATTCGTGGGGAAATTCGTCATCAGACACTGAAAACGATTTTGCGACTGAGCTCAGCAATGTGCGAACTTGGAGCTATATTTCAAATTTCAGTGTTTTTGGTTTGATTATATTATTGAATTAAATTTTTTATTATTTTTATGATTATTTATTAAATTATAATTTATGATTTTGTGTTTCAAATTTTATCATACCCGGGATGTTTACTAGACTCTTGTTCGGACAGATTTCAGTGAGTTTTTCCTAAAAATTACAGGCCTACAATTAAAAAAAATACATATTTCCATGCAAAAAAAAAATGGTACCGCTTTCAGCACCAAAAATCTAAAATAATCATACCGCCAGGGAGGTTAATGCCCATGTTGAGGGTTAGGCCCCAAAAAACTTTAAATTGAAACCATAATAAACTTCCATGCAAATGGTCTGGCAAGGTTTGAATTTGGGTTGGTGGTGATAAACTATTGTATTTTAAATTGCTTTGATCCACAATCAATGCATACAGATCTTCCGTAGATACCAGAAACCAGCGCTCAAATCTTCATGCTGCACAGAAAACACAAAATCTAGCACTCGCTGAGGTGCCGCCCTTGATAGATCGGGGAATCTTGACACTGACAAAAAAGAATAAAACAGCGCACTCTCCTCATGCATTACCATGATAAATAGGAAAATTTATTGTAAATTTTCAGATGCATACTCACGAACCAAAAAGGTCATAAAAAGAGACAAGGAGCCAAAGATGACAATCGTGGACAGAGGAGGTCCTTGGGTAAAAAGTGACAACGTGTTTTGGGAGTCGAACGCCCTTTCTCAGAGCACACTGCGGTTTTGTGTGCAATGCATCAAATGACAGTGACCTACTGATACTGCACTTGCTGGGGGAGAAGGGGGGGGAGGGTTAAAGCCTAGGGGCTAAATGCAGGTGCTGGCAGGTGTCGGGGCTGATCCCGCTAATGCTGCGTTTTTGGGGACACTATGCTAATGTGAACGCTGGTATAGTGCTGATCTGATCAAAGATATTGCTTTGTTCAGACACTATAATAGCAATGGAGGTTTATTGTGTATGTGTTCCTGCCAATCAAGGGGTTATATGTGATGACTGATGTATTGACAGGCAATCTGACGCTATCTGGGAGGGACTCTAATGCTATCTGAAGTCGCCGGTGACACTAATACAGTGATCAGTAAAAAATCTGTACACTGTACTAATGACACTGGTGACAGGGCAGTGAAGGGGTTAACTGGGGGGGGGGTGATCGGGGGGTTAAATGTGTGCTATATGTGTTTTTACTGTGTGTGTGTTTAGTGCTTTTACTCACGTGGATCTGCATTCTTCTCTCTCTGGGAAGGAATGTGCCCAGAGAAAAGATTTAATAATTTCCTGTACCTGTGTAAATGTAAACACAGGTACAGGAAGATCTCTGATAGGTCAGGGATCAATCAGCAGATCCAGGCTGAACATCACTGGCCTAAGTCTGTTGGTTGATCGGTCAGGCACCGAATCACAGCACCGGTGGGTTGATAGGTGCGCGCCCCTGGCCCGTGATCACGGCGGGAGCACAAACCACATGTATAAACATGATTTTCCCCTGAGAGTCTGCCCTGTATCAGTATTTCTGCTATAGGGCGGATCTTAACTGGTTAATGATATTAGTTGTGTATACAGACATATAGTCCTGTTGGCTGCATGGGTTAACCACTTGCCTACAGGGCTCTTGTACCCCCTTCCTGCCCAGGCCAAATTTTCAGCTTTCAGTGCTGTTGCACTTTGAATGACAATTGCGCGGTCATGCAATACTGTACCCATATGAACTTTTTATCACTTTTTTGAGACAGATAGAGATTTCTTTTGGTGGTATTTAATCACCTCTGGGTTTTTTATTTTTTGCTAAACAAACCAAAAACAACTGAAAATGTTGGAAAAAAAACGTTTTAACATTTTGTAAATTAGTGATTTTTTCTCCTTCACTGATGTGCACTAATGAGGCTGCAGTGATGGGCACTGATAGGCTGCACTGATAGGTGGCACTGATGGGCACTGATGAGGAGGCTCTGGTAGGTGGCACTGATGGGCATTGACAGGAATCACTGATGGGAACTGAAAGGCAGCACTAATATATGGCACTGATAGGCGACACTGATAGGTGGCACTGATAGGCAGCACTGACTGGCACAGTTAGGTGGCACTTATAAGCAGCACTGACTGGCACTGATAGGCAGCACTGACAGGCACTGATTGACAGCACTGACTGGCATTGATAGGTGGCACTGACTGGCACTGATAGGTGGCACTGAACGGCAGCTCAGATGGGCACTGATATGTGGCATTAATGTGCACTGGTAGGCACTGAAATGTGGCATTGATGTGGCACTGATGGGCACTGGTAGGTGGCATTGATGAGCACTGACAGCTGACATTGATGGACACTGACCATCAGGGCACACTGATCATCAGTGCCCTGATCATCAGTTTACATGTCCCCTCTGAGGGATGGCGATTACTGGCTCTCCACTCCTAACGAGCTGTCAGCATGACAGCTCGTGAGGAGAGAAATGCCAATAACCGGCATTTCCCTATTTACATGCGATCAGCTGTGATTGGACACAGCTGATCACATGACTGAGCTGACATCTTCAGCTCCTTCCATTGATCAGTGATTCGCTGTGTCCAAGGGACACAGCGCACCACCGATCGCTGTGCTGTGCGCCCCTGGAGCTGCGTATGTACGGTTAGAGTGGGATGACGTCATATGACGTCCTCCCAGAATGAGAGAACCGCCTTGCGCCCATCATTACCTTATATGGCGGGCGGGAGGCAGTTAAAATAGTTCACATCTATTTTTGATTATGACAAAACAGTATATTTGTGTCCTGTCTTGGAATGTAGGTGTCATGAATGCTTCTTTGAAGAGGAATGCTGTTTTTGATTAAATAACCTCATTCCGTCCATCTATTGTCTGTTTGCAGGAGATCCATATTACTCAAGACAGTACAAGATGGTTACAACGAAGCTTTGTCCGGGATGTTTATCATTCTGTTTATTCCTCCCACTCTCAGCGGGGTTTCCATTTTGATTTATAATGATGTGATATTCTCCTGCACCAAGACCATAGTGGAAGCAAATGTCAAGTTCATTTTTTTCATTGCCAGATATATGATTTAGAATTGAGTTTTTGCTGGCTTTTATATTCCTCCTCCTTATAATGCTGATGTGCTTCTTCAGTTTGTTTCATTTGCAAAGGTTTCCCCCTCGCTTCCTATCTTGGTGACAGGAGATTTTAATAATGTGATTAATCCAGAATACGATAGATTTCCGCTTCCTCGAGCATTACCAACAGATGGCTTGTCCTCACTAGGGCAACTCTGCAGGGAACTAGGGCTGCAGGATATGTGGCGGAGGTTTTCATCCTACTGAAAAATTTATATACTTGTCATTCTAAAACGTTTAATTCATTGTCCAGAATCTATCTGGTTTTGTGCGCTGCAGATCCCGCTTTTGCCTTTAAAGATGTGGTAATAGAGCCAAGAAGCATCTCTGATCATTCCCCATTGATTTTTACTATCACTCCTGGGCATCCAGAGGTCAATATCCCTTGGCATCTGAACTCATTTTGGCCAGATCTATTTCCTCAGGAGGACGCTCTGTAGTCCAATCTTGAGACTTTTATTGCTCAAAATAGAGGATCAGCATCGCCTAATACAGCATGGGATGCTCTTAAGGTGTATCTTCGAGACCTTTTAAATAAACAAGTATTATTAGAACATCCTTTTGTAAAGAGTTGGAACAGGCCAAGGTGGAGACTTCAGCAGCTGAAACCAAATACTGTATATCCTGGACCCCAGCTCGACTAATAAAGCAACCTGGGGGTCTTGCAGACCAGACTGAGTGCACTGCTGGCAGACAGGGCTAGTTAAACAAATCTTCCAGAAATTACTGACATGGGCAGAAGGGGAAGTATCTGGTTGATTATTGACACAAGTAGCTTGTTTGCAATCTAACTTTACATCGGAAGAAGCCCTGAAAGATCAAGAGGGTCATGTGTTTACTCACACAAATTTTATCACGGCTATTTTTCATGCTTTTTGCCAAGATCTATATGCCTCTCAGGTCAATTATGCTTTAGCTGAGCTGTCTGCCTATCTTAGCGCTATTACTCTCCCTATGCTATCGCAGGCAGATCAACAACTTCTTAATGCACCCTTTACTCAATCAGAAAGCTGCAGTGGTGGGCTTTCCAAATAGTAATGTGCCAGGAATGGCTGGTATCCTGATTGAAATTTTTAAAAAAAATACAGTAAAGTGCTGCTGCCGGCTGTACTCAATATGTTCAATGCAGCTTTATTGGAGGACCGTCTTCCAAACTCAGTGTGTGAGGCTGCGGTTATAGTTATCCTGAAAAAAGAAAATAATCCTTTATATCCAGAGTCATATCGACCTATTTCTCTACTTATAAATGATGTTAAAATTTTGGCCAAAGTTTTGGCAAACAGATTGAAAAAGGTGATAACACACATTATTCACACTGGTCCAGCTGGCTTTATGCCAAATATGTCTACAGCTGTCAATATTAAATGGGCTTATTTCAATATGCAGATTCCGGTTACTAATTCAACAGGTCACACCTTTTTGGCTTTGGATGCCATTAAAGCTTTTGATTAGTGATGGGCCAAACACCCCCCTGTTTGGTTTATGGTCGCACACTTAATGAAAGTTCGACTGTGAACTTCAAAATCAATGCAAGTCAAACACAAAATTCAAAAGTGCCCATTTTGAAGGCTTATATGCCATAAATGGGGTATGGGGACTCAGGTACTTCCCCGCGGAACATGAATCAGTGAAAGATTTTTGTAAAAGCTTGTAGGAGGAGTTTTCATTCTGCTCTGGGAGGATGCAAAACTCCTGACCTCTATGTGGACAGTGCTGATTGGCCCTATGCTGATCACATGCACTCTCCCAAGAAAAAAAAAAAAACCTCTCTAGCAATACACACTATACTGAGCATGTGCAGAGTGTCTCCACACGCTATGTTTTATCAGGAGATAAGAGAGAGGGCACTGGAAGAAGGGGAGGATCAGAGAAGTCAGGATCAAACAAGCATTTTTACATAATGCAGAGGATTAACCCCTTAGGTTCCACAGTGAGTATATCAAGCATACTTTACTGCATATACAGACTGATTATACTGTTGTGGGTTTAGTAACGCTTTAACCACTTCAAGTCTGGACACTTTCACCCCCTTCCAGTCCAGGCCAGTTTTCAGCTTTCAGTGCTACCACACTTTGGATGACAATTGGTCATGCAACATTGTACCCATATGAATTTTTGAGCATTTTTTTGAGACAAATAAATCATTATTTTGGTGGTATTTATTCCCCACTGGGATTTTTATTGTTTTGCTATATAAATGAAAAATCCCAAAATTTTGAAAAAAATTGCTTTTCTTATAAAATTTAGTAAATAAATAATATTTCTTCATAAATCTTAACCAAAAGGTATTCAGCTATCTTTTTAGTAAAAAAACAATAACCCAAATTAGTTTATAACCAAAAATTATAATTTTTGAAAAAAATGTTTTTTTACATTTTTATTTGTTTAACCAGTTGCCGCCTGGCCTATAGCCAGATGGCGGCTGGGTGAACAGCTCGTCCCTCCGGGTGGACGCCATTTTTAGGAACACTCATTGCGCATGCCCACAGAGCCACGCTGTGCCTTGATCTGTCACCGGCCGTATACCTCGTACACGGCTGATGACAGATCTGTGTACCGGCCCCCGTTGCCAGTACCATGTGACCAGCTGTGACCAATCACAGCAGGTCACATGACAGTTGTATACAATGGATGGCTTCCTTTCATGCCATCCATTGTATACAAGTGTGTCTAGCTGCGAATGGTCACAGCGATCACATGCACAAGCTGGGCCAATCACAGCCCAGCTGTGTCATGTGATTAGCCATGGCCAAATCACAGCTAAGCACAAAAAAAAAAAACCCTGAATGAATCGTTTTCATTCAGGTAAATGCTTGCTTATAGCAAAGTAATTCTTTGCTATAAGCAAATTGTGTAAAAAAAAAAAAATACTGATCACTTCCACAAAGTACTACAATGTTACTATGGTAACATTATACTACTTTGGTCATAGTGAGGTATGAAAAAAAATCTTGAAAAGGAGAAAAAAAAAGTAATAAAAGATGAATTATAAAAAAAAAAAAAAATTATAAATAAATTTTTTTTTCACAGTGTCCCTGATCACCGCCATGCCAGTTATATGATGACGCTGTACTGCACTGGTGTCAGTATGTAAAAAAAAAAATTTGTAATTTTTTTAATTTCTTCATTTTCCAAAAAATTATGACAAAAAAATTACAACTTCAAAAAAACTTGCCATGCCTCTTGTGAAATACGTCGGACTATCTACTTTGCAAAAAGGGGTCATTTGGGTGATATCTGTACTGTTCTGACATTCTTGGACCTCAAGAAATTAGATTGGCTGTAAGTACTTCATGACTGATCAATTTTCAGATATATCCCATAGTTTGTGAACTCTATAACTTTAATACATACTAAATAATACATCCTAATTTGTGTTATTTTCACCAAAGAAATGTAGCAGAATACATCTTGGCCCAAATTTATGAAGAACAATTATTTATTTGCAAACTTTTATAACAGAAACATAGAAAAACGTGTATTTTTTTCAAATGTTTGGCCTTTTTTTGTTAATTTAGCAAAAAATAAAAACCCCAGTGGTGATTAAATACCACCAAAAGAAAGCTCTAGTTGTGTGAAAAAAATGATAAAATTTTAGTTTGGTTACAGTGTTGTATGACCACGCAATTGTCATTCAAAATGGGAGAGCGCTGAAACCTGAAAATTGGCCTGGGCAGGAAGGGGTTAAAAGTGCCCTGTATGGAAGTGGTTATGTAAGCCATGTACCGGGGTGGGCTCCCCAGAATACAGTAAAGTCACGGTCGAGGATAGCAAACCCCAACACCAGCTTTTGCCACAACAGAATTTTACTTAGATGTGGCAAATAAACACAACCACAAATGCTGAGAACATACAATAAATTTACATACACCCAGCCCAAAGGCTGAGACCCTTGTGCTGCACAGCACGGCGCCTTCTGTTGGATGAAGGTAGAAAGTGAAGTAATTTACCTACTGGCGGGCACAACTAAGCTGCCACACCTTACCCGTTATTACCCTAAAAGAGCAGGAATCAGTGTACGGGTATGGTATGGGCTAGCCTGCGGTGCAGCACAACAGCTTACAATCTTACACATATCTACAGTAATCCCCCTCCCATAACTGGTCCTGTAGCACGTGCCTGAGTATTCCTTCTGAGCAAAACGCCAGTCTGGCTTGAGTTTGTGGGATTTTATCAGCTCTCCAATGTGAAATGTCGCTTTAAGTTATGAAGTCCTTCCAATGATCAGTAATAACACTTGTGGCCTGACACAAACAGAGACCCTAACTAACTAACTATAGGCCTGGTCTCATTCTCTAGGCACCAACACTGACATGAGGTGCATGCACGATCTTACCGAACCAGGTCTGCTTTGCATCCGCTGGTGACTCTGAACAGAACAAATGTCTCTCCAACAAGCATGCGGTATTGCAGTGTATGTTGCTTTGTTC